TCATTCCCTTATTTGTGGAAATTTAGGTTTAATCAGACTTCAACTTTATAGTGACCCAATTATTGATCTGTAAGTAACTCAATTGTAGTTGCCAGCAAATCTAATACACTGGTGACTCTACAACTAGCTCTGATTCCCCAAATGATTTATTTCTAAAAGTCTGTCTATAATTTAAAAATGCCAGCTGAATTTTACATAGTTTGACTTTGAGATATAATGACAGCTACATAATTTCTATTCAAATATAAGTAAATTCAACTTAAAAAATTAAAACCAATGGAAAAATTAATTCAAGGTTAAAAACTTCAATTTATAAAAAGACACCTACAGTAACTTTTTAGGGTGTTGCCTTATCTATAAATTCTGCTCTAGAGATTTTGTAAATCACTGGTCATAAGCCATTTTCTTCTAATTAAAAATATATATATATAAATTTCCCAGCTTTAAGTTAGAATTAGTAAATTAGTAAATTATTGCATTCTTCATATCCAAGTATCTTCTCTAAGTACTTTGTGGAAAAGCAGAAGGGGGAAGTTTTGCATCTCTAACTAGTGAGCAATTGCTTTCTTTTCCTTTCCTAATAAATTACAGGCAGACTTGAACAGATGTCAGGTTGGCATTCAAAACCTAAAATATAGCTGAAAAGCAAGTTATGACTAATACAAGGAAAAAAGATGAATGTCAGAAAGCTTCATTTTTTTTTTTTTTTCAAATTTCAGATAAGCTCTTTAGCCTTAGGGTTCCTTTTGCAGAGCCCTGGAGTTCTGCGAGATGTCTTAACCCCCATTTAAATTGCAATCTCGCCTCATGAGTGGGGGTGTGAAAATGCATTTTAAGAGTGTCAGTGTTTATGTTAATCTTAGCAAGAACTCCCTCTCTCCCGATTATGGCATGTATAAAACCTTAGTGGCCCTTTCTTCCACTGTGTTTTATTTGCACAGTTCTAAGCATGTGAAAGGTGTCTGCATGTGATTGAAAGGCTCCTTATCTTCTCTGCAGCTCTACTTCATAGAGTAATTGCAGTTTCACTTATGATATCAGAAAAGACTTGCTTTCCTCTAGAATTTCAAAAGAAACCTTAAAAATACAGATTGAAAATGGGCTTAGAGAGAGAGGCACAAGGGAAAGGGGACCAAAAAGAACAGTGTCAGTTTCAAAGAAGGGAGGCACAAGACCATAACAAGTGGCTTTCCTCTGCCTAGGTGGCCTGGATAGCTGCAAGGTTTAGATCCACCAAAGACACTGGGAGGCTGGAGGCTTACATCTCCACACACCCTTTTCCTTCTACCTCTAAAACGGATAACTTCTGCCAAAGCCCCTTTTCTTGGATACCTGTGAACCTAGTCCTAAAATGACATTAAGAGATGCTGACTAAGTCCTTAACAATTATTCTACTGTTCTCTGAAAAGGATTTGTATTTGTTTTTTTTTTTTTTTGCTCTGACATTTGCAGTTTAGAAGCAATTGCCAGGGATGCTGAAAACCGGAGTTTCTTTGCAGAAACTCTACCTTTGCCAACAAAAGAGTTATCAGTTATTTATCCGGAGCACTCCCCACAAAATTGCATGCAAGGGAGTAAATGTGGTAAGTCTAAAGGGAGTATATATGCAGTTGACACCTGAGTACGCTCAACAGCAATCAGCTGCTGAGTTTATTCACCTGGACTTCCAGATACTGTTTTTTTATACCCACATTTCTACCCTGAGACTCAACAGGTGCTATGATATCCCACAAACTAAGGATTAAGGTCATTCCTAACTAAATGTCTAGAGGAGGGCTGGAGAACATTCTAACTAAACAGCTATTTGTACCTACTAAGTGCAGGTGTGAGTCTAGTTTTCTCTGCTAATGTTTTTAGATATTTCCAAGTAAGAGCTACCCCATATGGGTCTGGGTAAGTCCAATTACTACAGCAAGGAAAAAGTAAAGAGTCACACTGATTAAAAAAACAACAATGAAAACAAAAGTCTAAACTGATGTACCCCTTAAGTAAGCCCTTTTCCTATTCCTACATATAACCCTTCTTCCTCTTTCTGTAGGGGGCTGTATGTGACTTGATTTCCCCTTTAAAGCTTTCCTTGATTTTAATTCTATAAAAATCTGTAACAATAACAGGAAGGTACATACTATGTGCTGGAAAGTAAGAGAGAAACTAACAGATTGTAAACTCTAGAACACTATTTTGTGTATATTGCCTCATTTGAACCCTAATTTTACTGCATAATTGTGTGCCTCTGGTTAGTCCTTTAGTCTTCCTATCTCATCCACAGCATTCTGTATGTATCTAAACTATATTTCCAATTTTGAGAAACAACATGAAGTTTTACAAGCAAAAGGAAAGAACTATATTACCCAGAAGCATAATTATCAGTCTCATAAACACAATGACAGAAGAGAATTCTAAATTTATCACTTTGTGAACCTGAAATGTTGATATATAGGCAAAAAGATCCATTTAGTTAAGGTTCCTGTTTACAATGTAGACTTAACTCTAGACTCCATGGTAAAGACAATGATTTGGTCTCAAGCCAAAAGAAAAAAAAGTTCTCTGCTTGAAACAAAACAAAATAGCCCCATAACCCACATAAATTATTACTTTCTAATCAATGTTTTTTTCCATTTGAATTGATTTCTCAGATCCAACTAGTATCCACTTGGATCCCCAATCCATACAGGTTTATGTATTTAGTTAACAGTGAGTGAGGAAAAAATAACCCAACTTTGTTCCTACCTGGCAAGGTAAAAGAACACAGGGTATATATAAAAAAGGATTGCGTAATGTCATGTCATATTCTATTCAAATGTAGCAATTTGAATTTTTATATACCTTTATTAATAGAGCTTAATGAGAACTTTATAATTGCACTGCTTTTGGGGTGCAATGTATACTATGTAATTCCTCCAAAATTCGAAGGTAAAAAGAAGTCTTTATTGGAAAATAAGGAATGACACATGCACAGCAAGAGAATTATTTCTCAGCCATTTTGCCATTAAAAAGTAGCCTGACACTGAGAATTTTCATTCAGAATAAAGAAAATAATGTCTTTCAATTGAGCTCAAAAGCCAAGGTAGCTTAATATTTACTATCTTTCAAATTAAATTGGCAATACATGCTTCTTGGTAGCAAAAAGCCATAAAGAGAAAAAACATACTACTTTTTGAAAAGGACAGAGCTAATTTTTTGTCTGATTAGTGCAAAAATATTAGAAAAATAAATCCATAAAGAAGGTTCTGGACAGCAGCACTCACAAACAAAATTCAAATCCACAGTCCTTAGTCAAAAAGCCTGGTAACAAAAGGCATACTACTATAATTTAACTAAATTCAATTTGGATTGTAGAAACAGATTAAATTCACTCAGAAACTTCAAATCTGTTCTGATTTAATTTCAAACGCTTCAACAGCTGACAGTCACAAATTGACCAATAAGAAATTTACTCCTTTATGCACATCTACTCAGCCTCAGACAGTGGCCCTAATGAGCTGGGTTTGGATGATGCAGAAACAGGAAACTAGTATCTTAAAAACTGAACCCGTGATAGCTTCCAAACTGTGAGAAAATATTTATAATACAATTAAAAGACATGGCATATTACAACATCAGTTATTTTTCTACTTGTTGGCTGGACAGTATAAATGTTTAAAAAAAAAAGTATCATTAGACGCTGTCAGTGCTCAGTTTTGAAAACCAGTAAAAATATTCCACAAGAATAGCTTTGAACATTTGGAATTATCCTTTTGTGTCTGCTTATACCCAAAATATAAACAATATTTCCATGCCTTGATGAAAACACTTTATGGACTTACTGTGCCTCAAAGTACACATTAACAAAATAGTGAACTACCATATTTGTTGTTATTTTCCAAATTAAAATTCTGTTTCTTTATGGGCTTGGCCTTTGTATCTTTCAGATTAAAAAGTCTGTTATTGCCATTTCAGGGCATATAAAACTCAGGTGATGAGGGTCTCTGTCATTTTCTCTTAATCCAATTCCAAACTCGACCTTTACCCAGTGAACAGGTGTGTGCTGTGCCTATAATTTATCACAGTGAGCAACCAGGCAGAAAAGCTACTAACAATAGGAGACTAATAGAACCAAGCACTTAGTGCCTAGAAAGCAGTTCTTATTCCCACCATGATGAATATACTTTTATCTCCTGGTAGCAATTTAAAGATAAAGAATAATTGAGGTGAGGGGAGTAATATCTTCATATTCCTTTAGGTTTTCTTTGGACACTGTTTTTACACTAATAGTCTGCCAGAAACTGTTGTTATAAATTCCTTTCTCAGATATTCTGTTGCTCACATTCCAATCCAACCTATGATAGGGATATGAGAACAGTCATGACAGCATTTCCACTAGGGCAAATAGAGCCACTTCACATACACATAAATTAAATAAACCTTCAAGAAAGAAGTGATAAATGAAGACTGCATTTTTTTGTATGCAATATGGAAAACTTCCATGAATATGTTGCATTTGTCTTTTTGGGTCAAACTTATCTAATTTAAAAACATGCCAAGTATCCATTTACTAGGTATTTGGGTAACCCAAAAACACAATAAAAAGAAGCAGTAGCTAGTATCAGAAAAATGCCTGCAGTCTATTGGTGATGATTACTGAGCAGGGTAAATCTGACCCATAGTGGATCTTCAGAGTCAGGTGAAACTACTAAATATGTCCAACAGAAAAACATTCATAAATAAATAAAACAAAGTTTCTAAATATGTCCTATAGAAAACCATACTTGAGTGAATGAATGAATAAATAAATAAATAAAATGGAACCATAAACATTTTCTACGATTTCCCCATAAAACTAAAATGTAATTTTAAAAGTTTTAATGCTTCAAATATTTTTTTAGAACACATTTTTTAAGAAGTTAAAACAGAATACTTCAGCAGGTCTGAAAAATAATTCTAAAATATTATTGAAATATCACACCTCACCTCTTTTTTTAACAATACAAGATTTTATCAAATTTTCCTTTTAAACTCACCCATCTGCTCCACAATCTCTGGAGGAAATACTCGGGAAGCAAACGCTCGTCGAAAAATATCTGAAAATTCCTTGTCCAGACCTCCTATTCCCATTTTTTCAAAGTTCCAGTCAGGATTGATGATAGACTGGCGATTTTCCTTGGTTTTAGCTTTGCCTATGTCAAACAAAGATAACCAAATATGAAACAAGAACTTCCTCTCTAAAAGAGCAGAATTCCCCAGGCAACCTCAATGAATAAATAAAGAGTCGCTAAACTTTTAAAAAATGAACAACATGCTCTTAGCTGATTTTCTAGTAAGAAGGATGAATTTTGCTACGTGAACTACTTTATTTGGTCTCCACTTAGGGTCAGCAAAACACTTTGAAAATGACTAGCTGAATTCATGCTGTCCATCTGTAATCAATCCATAGAGCTTGGTCTTATTAACGTCTAATCCTAAATTAACTAACTTGGTTGATTAGAAGAAACACCATGTGTGTATCTGATGATGACAACAACACTTGTTGCAAATGAAATCTAGCAGTCCCCCAGGGCTCCTCGAGCAAGTGTGTATTTAAAAATATATATATTTATCTAGATTAAGCTTATAATTGGGCATATAACCCCTTAGCCTGAGAAGATGCACTAAATAAGTATGATGTCTTCTTTGTTGTATCTTCTCTTGACACAGAAGTCTAAGACCATCCTAAAGTCTTTAATGATTTCAAAATTCATGTTTGCAAATTCTTTCACAAAGATGAAAATTATTTAACTGAAATGTCATAGTGCCACCTAAAGTGACTCAGGAGAACAACATTAACTCAAACAAAGAATAAAAGTGCCTTCTTAGTACCCTCTACTATAAATAAAAAAAGAAAGCAATATTACAATTTTCTAAAATTAGGTTAGAAAAGATCACATTAGTAAAGTTTATCCTAGATGGTAATTTTATGGTTAAGTTTTGTGGACTTCACATTTCCCTTATGAAACTATCAGAAGTATTTTTCTTACACTCTACTGCCCTCTGGTGGCCATTTTTACTGCATGCTAAATCACTATACAATTTTATTTTCCAATGGGGAAAAACAAACCTATCACACCATTACATGAATTACTTAGAAATATCCAAACTATGAAAGTCACGCAACCCTTTTTGGATAAGATACCTTAACAAAAGGTATATGAAACATGAAACACAAAGAAATAACTTTGGAAATATATTGGATCAATAACAGATTATGATATATCCTATGTCCATAAAACAAGTCATTAAAAAGATGTTGTTGAAGTGTTTTATTAAGATGCTTGAAATACATTTAGCACAAAGAATAAATTATAAAGCATTATGAAAATAGAATCAAATTTAAAACATTTTAGAGTGTGTGAGTTGTTTTTGAGTGCCTATCCATATCTTATGAAAGGAGTATTTTATGATTAAAAAAAACCAATAAGGGAGGAATGATAGTTTATGAATCAAGAAACAAGGACTTACAGGTGAAGTTAAATACCTTTAGAAATTATGGTGTGCAACCAATGAAAATCCTCTACTTCCTATTGGGGTAGACATTAACATAGTTTAATCAACTAAATAAATTTTTATACAGTTAATGGCATCATGATTTGATGAGTTTATTCTTAGAAACCAATCTGCATTATTTTAATATAACAAAAGTAGGGCTAGTATACAAAAATAAGACTGAACTATGAATCTGCTGGAAAGACTTTCCTTACCTGCACATTGATCATTTAATGCAACCACTAATAGAAGTGATGCTAGTATCACATTAAACACAAAATCAGGTGATGGACAGTCCACAGAGTAAGTGACCAGTTCTCAAGGTCTCGAAAGACAATGAGAGTCTGAGGGACTGTCAGAGACCAGAGAAGACTATGGAAACTAAATAACAAACCACAAGGTAGGATCCTGAGTTGGCACAGAAAAAGAACATAATAAAAAAACTGGTGAAATCCAAATAAAATCTGTAGTTTGGTTAGTAGCAATGTAACCATGTTAACTTAGTTTTGATAGCAGTACATTTTTGTTTCGGATGTAACATCAGAGGAAGCTGGTGAAGGGTACATAGGAACTCTGTGAACTCTTTTTGAAAATCTTCTCTAAGGCTGAACTGATCTCAATATTAAAAATTTAAAAACTGATTTTATCTGTATCTTTTTCCTTATTTTGTCATGGTTACTAGGAAATTAAAAATTACGTATTTGACTCACATTATATTTCTATTAGACAATGCTGATCTAGGGAAGGCTTTAAACATTTTTCTACATCTGGCAAATATGGAACACTCCATGACTTTGTGATAAGCCTTCTCAAGGGAAGAGCCTCTATTTTCCTTGCCCACTTGAAAATCACTGTAGTTGAGCCATATATAGTAACAGAAATAGTTCCATTTTATTCAGAATCTTCTAAAAACTGTAAATCTTACCAATAAGACTGAGTGATGAATTTTCTGCTTTTTCAAATGCAACTTGACTGTTTCCAACAACCAGTCCTACTTCAATCTGTATAGAAAGATAACAATTAGGAGTTAGTCTAATAGCAGACACCTGAACTTCTCAAAGCAAGGCCAAAAATGAAAAGGGAATTAGGTATCTCTGGGCAAAACAAATCTTCTAAACTATCATCTAAATTACACTTACTCTTGTCATAACTACCTTCTACTATTACTATTTTATTTCAGTGCATATATCTTTTGATAATGTCTTATTGTTATTTATTTATTTATAATAAATAGCATTTGCATTCAACAAGGATTATAAATACATATACAAATTTCAAATTACTATTAGGTGTGAAAATTTGTGTATTTTACACTATTTTAATAACAATTCTGCCTATAAAAGCAATTTTTTCTCCCTACTGTCTTAGAAGAAAGCATACATAATATGAAATAAATCACTGAACAACAGAGTGGGTAGGAAAATTATATTAATCTGCATAAGTCACATTATAAATTTATATCTAATAAAGATTACTAAAAATACAACATACCTTCTGTCTTTTACCTGTAGCAGCCTCTCCCTTTAGGATGCTAGGATCCATGGCTTCAATATCCTTTACCAGTAAGCCAAAAAGCTTTTCATTGAAACTAAATACAAGCTATGTAGAAAGGAGGTAAAGGGAGAAAAATTATTTCATGATAATAATAGCTTGATTCTCATATCATCACCAATGTTTTCCAAACAAGGCAAGCAGCTTTCCCCTGTACATCCCTCTCAAATCTTCTCCACAGGCAAACTACCCACATAGCCAATGAGAATAAAAGGGAACTAACATGTACGGAGTACCTGCTATGTTCCAAATGAACACTACAGGAGGTCCTATAATTAATACTCGAAAACTCTCGTGGAAACAAATTATTCCTCAGTTTTACTAGTCATGAAGCTGAGATCCAGAGAAGGGCTAAGCAATGGGACCCAGAGTCACAGTAAATGGTAGTACCAGGATTCAACGGTGGGTCTGTGACTCTAAAAGTCATGCTTTTCTACAACCAATACAAAGTGCCTGCCTTACAAGTACAAAGACAGCTTCTGAATGCTCATTATTCACCAAATATTTATTAAGTACCTTCTACAAGCTAGACCCTCCTCTACATGCCAGGGGATAACAGTAAATGTAATAGACAAAACTGAGTGTCAGTCCTGCCTCTGCCAATACTACAAATGGGAATAAATACTAACGACAGTGATGGGGTAAGGTGTTTATTTCTTCTCTGTATTATATAGGATTTTCTTTCATGGGTTAATAGACATCTGCATGTTTCTGGGCTTTAAATTACTACAAATACCAAAACATTTAGTATTAAAATACTAAAGCTAAAGGAAAAGATAAAAACAATGAAGTTTAGCTAGGCAATATAAGCACAACTATTAATCAAAAAGGGTAGAAATCCAGAAGGAATATGGACAGGTAGTCAACAAATTATCAGCTAAATGTCACTGGGGAGCGTTCTTGGACCATCTAATCCAAAATACCAGCACAGGGGCTCTCAAGTACCTCTCCTCATTTATTTATATCAAAATACTTATCAGAATATGGCATTTCTTTCTTATTTTCTCTCTTCCCCAACTAGAAAGTAAGCTCAATGAGAGTGGAAATTGCAGCTATTTTATTCATTGCTGATCTGCAGTGCCCAAAATAGTTTAAACATACTAGGTATTCAGTAAGTACTTATTTAATTAACGAACTGATCAATTGACTGATACATTCTTGTCTCAGCTACGTCCCTAGCTGTGGAGCCATGTACATGCCACTTACCTTCTTTGGACCTAAAATCCCTCTTTTGCAAAATGAGGCTAGACAAGATGATGAGTATCATTCCAATTATAGAACTCTTAGAAATAATAATAAATGCGCTGTATCCTTTTCCTGTCTGTCAGTAATTCAGTTTCCACTTGGAAAGTTTTATATTTAACATATGGATTATCCAGAGCCTTAGAGTTATGTTCTTCCTGATTAATGCCATTTCAGTTAGACAAGAGAATCAAAAGAAAGGTGGAAATCTTTGTTCATTCCAGCAGTTTTCCCTTTACTACCTCTCTTATCCCCCATCTTACACACTTTCCCATGTGAGCAACTGCAAGGAGAATCTCACTAAGCCATTAGAGATCAGAATGCTATACTATATGCTTTTTGGTCTCAGGATCCCTTTATATGACTAAAAATTTCTGAGGGCCCCAAACAGCCTTTGTTATATGGATTACATCTACTGACATTCACCATATTAGAAATGAGAACAAGAAACTTTAAATTATTTATTAAAAATAACAATAAATCCACTGTGTTGATATAAATAACATTTTTAAGTTATTTTAAAAACCTCCATTTTCCAAAATAGAAAACATAAGCAGGAAGAGTGGCACTGTCACATTTTTGTAAATCTCTTTACTGTCACACTTAATGGAAGACAGTTGGACCCTCATGTTTACTTCAGCAGTCAATGTGCCATGCTAGCCCACATCCCACAGTCTGCAGAACACCACTGCAGGCTCATGAGACAGTAAGAAGAAAAAGACGTAACATCCTGGTATTATGAAAAGAGCTGTGTCTTCGCAAACCTGAATGGGCCTCAGAGACCACCAGAGGTCTCTGGACCACACTTTGAGAATCACTGCTATGGAGCTTAGAGTTAGGAATGATTAAGAAAAGCCAAAAAGAAGGGAACATAGAAGGTCAACAGAGTGATAATTATTTATGTGTACAAAGCAATTTATGAACTCATATAAGTAAAAATTTAAAAGAACACAGTTTCTTTCTAGGGGGTTGACAATATATTGACGAAGTTCCAAAAAAAGGGGCAATATCATTTCAAATAAGAGAAAATATGGGCTTTAGAGATTCCATGATAAGCCTAAAAATACATATACACAACTTAAAGATTCTGAGTTCACAACCAAAACAACCAACAATTATTTTCTACAGAAATATACCAGTAAACAGAAAGACATCCATATAGAGAACAAATATCCCACAATAAGAAAAGAAGAAATTTTAGACATATATGTGTGCAGTGTTCCCAAATTTACAGAGGAAAAAGCTATAATTATATGTGCATTGTAACCTAAAAGCTGTTTTAGAATTTTTCTGAAGTAACTCCTAGAGGTTCAGCAAATACGCCCCCTCACTTTTTAATCACTCACCTTGGGTATACATGTTCATATGCAAAGCTCCTCTCAGTTTTTAAATAGTAAAGTTAACTTTGGACAACTGGAGAGATTAGAATGCCAATAAAGTGAAATGAATAAGAGAAAATTTAAAACCACCTGTTGTCCCACTGAGAATGCCTGGTTGTTGAACTGCTGAATAAATTCTGCTGCCATCTTGTCAGTATCATAAGGGTTGGAGTCGATGCTTTTTTTCTGCAGGAAATCAATCTCCATCGTCATTGTGCCAATACACTGTTTGGCCTTGTCAAATGTATATAAGAACACTAGAAAAAAAAAGAAACTTTTTTAAAAAACAGGGACACCAAATACTTGCTGGGTTTTGAGCAACTAAAAGTTTCACATAAATGAATCAAACAGAACTTGATCAAGAGGGGCTTTACATGGCCTTCTTTGGAGGGACACATAGGCACAGATTAAAAAATAAGAGTAACCACTATAGATTTTCTTCTCCTCTGAATTAATTAGAACATGTTGAATAGCACTCTCCTCTCTAGTTTTACCCCTCACTTGACTTATACGGGGAAATCGCAGCCTTCCCTCCAAGGCCTCTGCATCTCTCTCCTTCTCATTTACCAGAGGACAAAGTGACAGCATGGGAAGTCCCAGTGGAGTCGGCAGAGCATGCTGTTTTCAAACAAGATTTTTGTTTGACACAAGAAAGAGCTGAGAGGTGTGTGGACTCTTTTTCCCTAACAAATTAGGATGCAGGACAAAAAAAAACCAGTTTGAAAAACAATGTCTACTAGGGGGATTTGCTCCAGAGCAAGTTAGAGTTTGGCATATTTTTTTTAATACTATAAAGATACTTTCTAAGTACCTACTATATCCAGGGAACTACAGTAAGTTCTGCATGTAGAATACGGCAAGGACCATGTTTTTAACTCATCTTTGTATTAAGAGTACCTAACAGTGTTTGGTAGATGCTTAATATATTAATGCACTGTTTAAATGAAACAACAGAAACAGCCTAAAACCTATAGTGTCCATGCTAACAACAAAGGAGGCAAGACAAAGGAACTTTGGTGTCTGTGTGTTTCAACAGATTCTGTTAGTAACTAGAAGAATCTAAGTAAATCATCTAGCTCTCTGTGTCCTGATTTGTCACATCTATAAAATAAGACTGGATTAGATAAATCTTTATGGTTCTCTCAGAATATAAATTCTGTCCTAAACTTATTTTTGTAGACTAGCCACTTAAGTTACATACAAGTATTTCTTATAAAAATCTTTGAATGAAGATGCTTGTGTAATCATATTTTTATATTTTGGCTTGCTGTTGTAAAGGGGGACACACATATTTTAAAGGTAAACATTTTCAAAAGCAAATTAACAAAGAAAGCTAAGGTGAGGAATGGAAAATTCACTGAAGATCAAAGAGTAAGTTCAAATCTTGGCTGAAAATTTCAGAATATTCTCCTGCCTCCCCTTCTGGATGCTTTGTTCTTTCTAAATACTTCTTAGAGAGTATAGGTTATATGACAGAAATTTTCATAAGCAAGAAAGCTTAGTTGTTTCCCCACATAGTGCAGATATGTATAAGAAATAATAATGTAAAAATAAATAACTTGATTCAGCAATTCCATTTCCAGGTATCAGTCCCAGAAAGACTCTTGAACATTTGCCTAAAAAGAGATCTATAAGATCTATAGGATTTTTATTGTAGCATTATTTGTAATAGTCAAACATTGAAAAAACATAGATCAGTAGGGGAATAAATACAAGATGGCATATTCATAATGTAGAATACTGTACAGCAATTAAAATAAAAACTTGATGTGTATTTAATAAAGATGGGTGGCCCATTGAAACATAATATTGAGTAAAAAACATATACCACAGAAAGATCTGTACAGTATGCTATCACTGTGTGCATTAAAGACTCCAAAACAATTCCACAATGTCATAATACATATGTGTGTACACACATATGCATGTATATATACATGTGTATGCCACCTTTATATAAAAAAATCTGTGTAAGTGTATTAAAATATGATCATTACTGACTATAGTTTTCAAATGCACTTTAATTTATGGTCAATGTTCCTAAATAGAAAAGACCAAGCTGTTACAGTTTCAAATGCTATGGGCAGGACCATGGACAGTATCGCAGGCAGCACCATGGTCAGCACCACTGTCGCCCTAAAGGAACAGGTGCCCTGAGGGATGATCCAAGAGAAAAAGGCCAAAATGATTTTGGTTTTTTTCCAATTTAATGACTAATAGCAATATAATGTCAAAAGACCAATAAAAATATTTTTATAAGTAAAAAAAAATTTATAGCCAATGTTTTGAATAAAAAGACATTATAAGGATAGGTATACTATAATAGCTAAAAACATGTGTTCATTGAACACCACTCTGTAATACTTAAAATACAGCATTTCTAGATGGAGAGAAGACTAAATGATTTTTCTAGAAAATTCCCTCAGACTAAAATCACTGACTTAACTAAAAAATTCTCACCTGTTCCAGAATCTCTGAATTAGCCCTCCTCTTCATACCACATCTCCTATCCTGTCTCTGCCAATATCTCTACTTAAATGAATCTGTTTTCTACCTGTATGGCCACATCATCCACATCCCCTAGACCCTCAAACCTTTCCCTGCCTCAAGCTTACTCCACCTTAGTCCCACCTAAGCAAAATTAGTTTTATAATTTTGCCTATTAAATCTAGTTGAATCACCTTTTAAAGAAATAACTTTACAATCAAAATAAGCATTTCTGGAAGCAGGAGAATGCTTTAAACACAATTTAAGCCACCTAAGTTAAATAAATAATTGATAATACAAATTTATCAATTCATCAAGATTTATAACCTTGAATTTTCATACCTTTTCACAACAGAATTTATCTACATTAAAAGATAAATTTAAGCACACTCTTAACCTTATATTTAGAAAAATAAGTTTAAAAGAGTTAGAAATCTAAGCTACATAAACACCGATTTTCTCATTACATTTAACAAGTGTTCATTTTTATTTGTGTTATATAGGGAACCCTGGTTTTATGCACTGACCTACGTCACTCTGGTGCTGAACACTTCCACTGTCTCAGCTTCTAACTGTGCTTCAGGTGAGGAGGTGGTAACTAAGGGAATCACTTATGTCAGTGTTTCCTAAAATGTGGGTGGTAAGAACCACTTAAGGGTGACTGTTTAAAACACAGACTCATTTATCAGACTCCCCAAGTGAGGGGCCTGGGGATCTTTTTTTTTTTTAAAAAAAAAACAAACTCCCCAGGCATTTCTTTCAGGTAAGTCTGGAATGCACTAATTATGCAACCCTTTCCATCAGCCCATATGTAAAGTAATTTCCTTTACTTTCACCCCCAATAAAAAAAATGTATCCCTTATACTACTTACACAAAGAAAAAGAAAAAAGCCAACTAAATATAGCCCCAATATTTATGCTCCTTCTAACTCAGAAAAGAAATTTAAGTTGCCATGTCCCTTAATGAGAAGTAGGATGTTCTTTCTTGTCACTTTACCAACTTCTATTCTTGGACATCTCTATAGTAGCCTGGTCTAAACCAGGCTAGTAATGTGTTCCAGGCAACTGCTTTACATATTTGTCTTCTTTCAACAAGTTTAAAGTTACTATACCCTTGAATATCTTCAAAAGTTTTGGATCTAGAGGATAATGGTGGTCCATGAATCTGAACATTCCCATACACCCTCCAAAACCCCTGGGAACAACAAGGGCAAATAATGCCACATACAGTCCACACCTTCAGCTTTACTAGGAGACAGAGAATACCATGAAACCCAACTTACTTGAAAGTACAGAAACACACAACAAAATTACACAGCACTCCCATTGTGGAAGAAAAGGAGAAAGGAGAGCAGGACATAGAGAGGAGAGCAGACAAAACCAACTTCCTAAAAGTCCAACACCAAATACCAAAACACTAAACAAAAAAGGCAGTAAGAGTGGAAAATTAAGGATCATGAACAAACAAAAGAGAAACAAGCTATGTCAACCTCTCTACCCCATCTCACCACTATTATTTATTAAAGAAACTGTACTTCTCTATATTGACAGATGAGAATGCTCTTGAACTAATAATCTTGACTATAAAGTTATGAGAAAACAAAATAACTCCACAAAGTTACTATGAAAAAAAGTAACAAAATACTGTAGCATTTCAGCTGATAAAGCGTCTTCCCCCAAAATATCAATCTTGAAATAGAAAATATATATTTACTGTACCTTTAAACTGAATTAAATATTCTCAACAAGTATTTAGACATATAATACTAAAAACAAAACACCTAAAATCAGAAGATTAAAAACTAAGAACAGAAATATACAAACAAAAGAAATGCAAAGAAAGTTTATTGAACTCAGGAAAGAAATTAAAGAAAAAGACAAAGAAAAGGAAAGAGCAGTAAATAATAAATCACAAAGTGCATGGGAGAGTAGATTTAAATTAAAATATAATAAGAGGGAGTGAAGAAAGACAGGAAAACAACCAAGATGATAAAAATAAGATAAATAATTTAAAAAGAACAGAAAGTGGTGTAATGGAAGACAGACAGAGAAAGTCTAACATACATATAACTGGAGCCTCTGAAAAGAAAATCTAAACAATTGGTCCAGAACTCATATTTAAAATCATAATCTAAGAACATTTTCTGGCAATAAGAGAAAGCTTAAATCTACATACTGAAACGACCCATTGTATTCCTGGGTCATTGACCCAGAGTGACCAATTCCAAGAAATATACTAATAAAAATATTAGACTTTAAAGACAGAAAAAAACCTCAGTGTTCCCCAGCAGGAAAACCACCTATAAAGGTAAATTAGGCTGGCATTAGACTTCTCAAGAGTATCATACAAAGCTAGGCAGTTGTGATGCAGCATTCTCAAGAAATTTAAGGAATGAAAACAAGCCAAGAATTTTATTTTTTTATTATTTATTAAGGTATGATTGATATACACTCTTATGAAGGTTTCACATGAAAAAACAATGTGGTTACTACATTTACCCATATTATCAAGTCCCCACCCATACCCCAATGCAGTCACTGTCCATCAGTGTAGCAAGTTGCCAGAGATCCACTATGTCCCTTCTCCGTGATACACTGTTCTCCCGGTGATCCTCCACACCATGTGTACTAAACATAATACCCCTCAGTCCCCTTCTCCCTCCCTCCCCACCCGCCCTCCCACATCCCTCCCCTTTGGTCACACCCCTCCCCTTTGGTAACCACTAGTTCATTTTTGGAGTCTCTAAGTCTGCTGCCATTTTGTTCCTTCAGTTTTGCTTCACTGTTATACTCCACAAATGAGGGAAATCATTTGGCATTTGTCTTTCTCCACCTGGCTTATTTCACTGAGCATAATGTCCTCCAGCTCCATCCAGGTTGTTGCAAATGGTAGGATTTGTTTCTTTCTTATGGCTGAATAGTAATCCATTGTATATATGTACCACTCTTCTTTATCCATTTATCTACAGATGGACATTTAGGTTGCTTCCATATCTTGGCTATTGTAAAAAGTGCAGCGATTAACATAGGAGTGTATATGTCTTTTTGAATCTGAGAAGTTGTCTTCTTTGGGTATATTCCAAGAAGTGGGATTCTGGGGTCAAATGGTATTTCTATTTTTAGTTTTTTGAGGAACCTCCATATTGCTTACCACACTGGTTGAACTAGCTTACATTCCCACCAGCAGTGTAGGAGGGTTCCCCTTTCTCCGCATCCTCGCCAGCATTTGTTGTTCTTAGTCTTTTCGATGCTGGCCATCCTTACTGGTGTGAGGTGATATCTCATTGTGGTTTTAATTTGCATTTCCCTGATGATTAGTGATGTGGAGCATCTTTTCATGTGTCTGTTGGCCATCTGAATTTCTTCTTTGGAGAACCATCTCCTCATATCCTCTGCCCATTTGTTAATTGGATTACTTGCTTTTTGGGTGTTGAGGTGTGTAAGTTCTTTATATATTTTGGATGTTAACCCCTTGTTGGATATGTCATTTACAAATATATTCTCCCATACTGTAGGATGCCTTTTTGTTTTGTTGATGATGTCCTTTGCCGTACAAAAACTTTTTAGTTTGATGTAGTCCCATGAGTTCATTTTTGCTTTTGTTTCCCTTTCTTGAGGAGATGGGTTCAGGAAGAAGTTACTCATGCTTATATTCAGGAGATGTTTGCCTATGTTGTCTTCTAAGAGTTTTATGGTTTCATGACTTACATTCAAGTCTTTAATCCATTTCGAGTTTACTTTTGTGTATGGGGTTAAACAATAATTCAGTCTCATTCTCTTGCATGTAGCTGTCCGGTTTTGCCAACACCAGCTGTTGAAGAGGCTGTCATTTCCCCATTGTATGTCCATGGCTCCTTTATCATATATTAATTGACCATATATGGTTGGGTTTATATCAGGGCTCTCTAATCTGTTCCATTGGTCTATGGATCTGTTCTTGTGCCAGTACCAAATTGTCTTGATTACTGTGGCTTTGTAGTAGAACTTGAAGTTGGGTAGCGTAATTCCCCCTGCTTTACTCTTCCTTCTCAGGATTGCTTTAAGCCAAGAATTTTATAACAAGCCAAGCTGTGCTTAAAATATCAAAGATACAGAAAAATAGTTTGAACATGCAAGAACTTAGGGAACACGGTAATGTATATACTTCCTGGAGGAATCTACTAGAGGATAGGTTTTATCCAACCAAGTAGAAACTAGCAAAATGACTGATTATGATCATTTAAGAGACTTAATTGTAGAGTTAAGACTAAAATAAGTGTATGATCATCTGTGAAGAATAGCATGTAAATATGCTCTGACAAAGTAGAAAGAAAACAACTAAAATGTACAGTATGGAGACTATAGTTAATACTGTATTGCATATTTGGAATTTGCTAAGAGAATTTTTTAGATCTTAAAAGTCCTCATCATATGAAAAAAGACAACTTTTGTAACTACGAAGTGTGACAATGTTAACTAGACTTATTGCGGAACTATATTTCAACTACATTTCACAATATAGATATACACTGAATCATTATGTACAACATTATGTTGTACACCTGAAACTAATATGTCAAACTAATATATGTCAATTACATCACAGTTCTTTAAAGAATTTGCTTCTTCCACTTAAAAGACTTAAAACTTATAAAAAAGCAACTAACAAAATGAGAAGAGAAATGGGAAGGCAGAATATGATTGTTAACTGTTGCATAGGTAATAGATGACAGTCAAAAGATACCAATTAGAATTGACAGAATAGAGAGAGAAAATGATTTCAAAAAATGACAGTTGGTCAAAATACCAACAGTATTCTTCAACAAACTGGAACAAATAGTTCTAAAATTCATATGGAACCACAAAAGACCCCATATTGCCAAAGCAATCCTGAGAAGGAAGAATAAAGCAGGGGAGGATCTCGCTTCCCAACTTCAAGCTCTACTACAAAGCCACAGTAATCAAGACAATTTGGTACTGGCACAAGAACAGACCCACAGACCAGTGGAACAGAATAGAGAGTCCAGATATTAACCCAAACATATATGGTCAATTAATATACGAGAAAGGAGCCATGGATATACAATAGAGAAATGACAGCCTCTTCAACAGCTGGTGTTGGCAAAACTGGACAGCTACATGTAACAGAATGAAACTGGATTATTGTCCAACCCCATACACGAAAGTAAATTCAAAATGGATAAACGATCTGAATGTAAGTCATGAAACCATAAAACTCTTAGAAAAAAAACATAGGCAAAAATCCCTTGGGACATAAACATGAGCAACTTCTTCATGAACATATCCCCCCGGGCAAGGGAAACAAAAGCAAAAATGAACAAGTGGGATTATATCAAGCTGAAAAGCTTCTGTACAGCAAAGGACACCATCAATAGATCAAAAAGACATCCTACAGTATGGGAGAATATATTCATAAATGACATATCCGATAAAGGATTGACATCCAAAATATATAAAGAGCTCATGCACCTCAACAAACAAAAAGCAAATAAGCCAATTAAAAAATGGGCAGGGGAGCTGAACAGACACTTCTCCAAAGTAGAAATTCAGATGGCCAACAGACACATGAAAAGATGCTCCACATCCTTAATCATCAGAGAAATGCAAATTAAAACCACGAGATATCACCCCACACCGGTTAGGATGACCACCATACAAAAGACAAACAACAACAAATCTTGGCAAGGATGTGGAGAAAGGGGAACCCTCCTACACTGCTGGTGGGAATGTAAATTAGTTCAACCATGTGGAAAGCAGTATGGAGGTTCCTCAAAAAACTAAAAATAGAAATACCATTTGACCCAGGAATTCCACTTCTAGGAATTTACCCTAAGAATGCAGCAGCCCGTTTGAAAAAGACATATGCACCCCTATATTTATCGCAGCACTATTTACAATAGCCAAGAAATGGAAGCAACCTAAGTGTTCATCAGTAGATGAATGGATAAAGAAGATGTGGTATATATGCACAATGGAATATTACTCAGCCTTAAGAAAACAAATCCTACCATTTGCAACAACATGGATGGGGCTAGAGGGCATTATGCTCAGTGAAATAAGCCAGGTGGAAAAGGACAAGTATCAAATGATTTCACTCATATGTGGTGTATAGGAACAAAGAAAAAAACTGAAGGAACAAAACAGCAGCAGATTCACAGAACTACAGAATAGACTAACAGTTACCAAAGGTAAAGGGCCTGGGGAGGATGGGTGGGAAGGGAGGGACAAGGGGTGAGAAAGGACATTACGATTAGCAGATATAATGTAGGGGGTGGGGGGGCACAGGGAGGGCTGTACAACACAGAGAAAAAAATAGTGATTCTCCAGCATCTTACTATGCTGATGGACAGTGACTGTAATGGGATATGTGGTGGGGACTTGATGATGGGGGGAGTCTAGTAACCGTAATGTTGGTCATGTAATTGTAGATTAATGATACTAAAAAAAGAAAAAAAAATGACAGTTGGTCAGTCTGGGAAGAAGTAGCATATAGGAATTCTCTGTATTATTTTTACAACCTTTCTGTAAACATGTATTTTTTTTAAACCTTTAGAGAAATAATATATATTCATTTAATATTTTACTTACAGACCTCTCTGAAACATGCCAAAATCCATATGGCTCATGGAACTTTGCTCAACAAAAGAGATTCCTAACAAAAAATATATTAATGTAGTAATCAAGATGTGACCATTACATTTAGGTATATAATTCAGATTCCAAATGTATGGTGAGTATCACGTAATATCATACTTCTGGTTTAATGGAAAACATAAAATTTGTGACAATCATGCTTAACAATGGTTAAGTGAACAGGGAAATGGACAAGGTACCACTGAGGTATGCAAAGATTTAACAGTTCAAATAATCAGCCCTTCTGAGAAAATATTAATGGGAAATACGAGACAAATATTTCTGTAGACGGTAGTTTCAGCCCATGAGTGATCATTCTCTTCATGCATTTAAAGTAACTTCAGTTGTTTGTGAGCACTAAAAACCAGATTCAAAGTAAGTCTTTGCTCAACAAGGTAATGATACTACAATTCCTTATATTAAAAAACATAGTTTGAATTTCAAAAGTTAAGTTTTCATAATTACTTTTAGATATAATTGAGACTATATTACCACAGGTCATCAGTTATACTGCTGTGCACAGTCAATTCCAGTTACCATATTTATATTTGTTGGTCACCAATAGCACAAATTTTATGGTCCAAAAGAAATATATCAACCCAGCAAAATGGTTACATTCAATTTTCTTTTAAGAAAAGATTAAGTAAATTTAGGAAGAATTGGCTTTTCTTGGTCTCATTTTCAAATTACTGATACAAATTTACCAGAGAATAATTATGTATTTTTTGCGTAACATCAAATAATCTGCAAAAAGTTTCCAAGACAGCTGCATTTCTTGTTCAATTTCCAAAAATAAATAAAGGCTTTCTGACTGAAAGCATTTACATTCCTAGTTCTCTAAAGTAAACATTAAAAAGCAAAGTACACAGGATGACCTCTAGGCTTTTAAACAGCCCGCTTAGTTACATAAAGTATTCTCTGTTCCAACACTCCTCATACTCAAAAGATATTTATTTCCTAAGAACATGACAGTCTTCATTTCAAACCATTCAGTCCGTTTCCATGGCAACACTGCGGGATTCCTTGGCTACCATAAGTCGCATTAGTTGACTGTGGAATTTCTCAATCTTCTTTACATCTTGAGCTTGGTCTGTTCCATACACCAAACAAACTAAATCATCTGTTACTTTAATACACAAACTCCCATCAGAATGCCTATATTTGAGAACCACACGTGCCTTCATAGGGTCGGCGAGGTATAGTTTCTCGGCCGCGCGACTGAACTCCTCCCAAGTCTGGTATTGCAGCATCGTGGGCCCGCGGCGGAAAGCGAGGGGAGGCAAGGCCGGGACCCGAGGCCGCACGACCCGGCCCACCCACCAACTCACCAACCCACCTAGCGCCTCACCTAACATGTATTTTTTAAGTTTTAAAAGCAAGCAGAAAAAAAGCTGGCTTAATTACACTTGCATTTTATTTTCTTCTCCTACTGTATCTATGAAGTTGACATGCAATTATCTGACAATAAGATTCATACTCTACTTTTTGAACTTTGCCACACTGCGTAAGACAGGATGCCAAGTTTTTGCTTATTAGCTCTTTGGCTTATAATCTGCAAGTGGCTTAATCCTTTTTTCCCTCTCAAGTCATAAATTGCTTTCTATGCCCTTTCCCATGATGACTTTATAACATACTTTACTAAAAAATATACATCACTCGCTCAAGTATTGCCACCATTTCTTCCCTTTAATCTAAATTTATCTTTGGTTAAAGGGAGGATAACCTATCTTTGGATAAATAAGATATCTCCTGATTTATCTTTCCAAACCCAGCAGAAAACATATTTCAGTATACAGTAAAATGGATCACCCAGGAATACCAATTATTCCTCTTCAATATAACTTAGACTAAAAAACTTTTTCCGAAGCCACAATTTCACTAAGTCCTATTCAACTTAATTCTAGGCAAGGCAAATAACCCCCAAGTTATTTTCCTTGACTCCTAAGCTCTCCCCACCCCTCACTACATTCTATCCACATTGACATTAGAATTCTGTTCTAAAGGTAGGATTTTGATAGGTTCTTTTAGAAATCTTTAGGAGCTTTCAATTGTCTTTGCATAAAATCCAAATTTTTCAGTACATACTTCCTGGCCCTCCACTAACAGCTTACTCAACTCTCACCTCTAAATACAACCCAGGCAGACAAGTCCTTTCAATCAGGCAAACATACCTCACAAGCACTGTCTATGATTTGTTTGCTCCCGTCTCAAACCTTTTATTTATATTATTTCTCATCTTAAAAGCCTCTCTTCCTTGTGTCTAACATGTAATGCTTTTCCCCTACTTCATAATCAAGCTCAAAACTCCAGTGCCTAGAAAGATTTCTCTGGCTAAGTTTCCAGTCTCCAATTCACCCTGTTCCACTTTATCTTGGCACTTTTACACAGAACTCCTAATGGTAATATTTGTGCACATATTTACCTTTTACACACTCTGCTAGTTATGAATATGCAGATATTCTTCCCCCCATTAGACTCCAACTTCCAGGCAGAATAGCAAGTCAGTAAGAGGAAGACACTATAACTATTTACTTGCTGTTTTCATAGATCTAACCAGTAATAAGAATAGGATGAATGTTTAATGGCCTGGCAACCAGCAACAGAAAATTGTACAGACCTCTCTGTGAGAAAATCATAAAGAAAAATCTACCTCAGGTAGCTAAAAAATTTACCTACCTTCTATTTCTTGTCCAATAGAAAGTCCAGCCCATTTTCGCTGTAAAAATAAAAGAGAAGGAAAAAAGATGCTTAAGAGCAAATCAAGCAAAATTGGAGAAATGAGGAAAAGAGGAATTTCTATGAATTTCAGGAGCACATTCAAAGAACAAACCATGGTATGCTTGTTATGTGCTGAATTGTGTCTCACAAAAAGGTTAAGTTGAAGTCTTAGCCTCCCCACATCACCTGCGTATATGAGCATATTTGGAAATAGGGTCTTTGCAGTTGCAATCACATTAAGATGAGAGCATATCTTATTAGGGTAGGCTCTAAGTCAATACCACCGTGTCCTTATAAAAAGTGAAGAGACACATGGACACACGGGGATAAAGTCATGTGATGATGGAAGCAGAGACTGAAGTGATCCATCTACCAGTCAACGAACACTAAGGACTGTCAGTCACCTTAGAAGCTAAGCACGAACAGATTTTTCCATGGGCCTTCAGAAAGAGCATGGCCCTGCTGACACCTTGATTTCAGACTTCTAGCTTCCAAAACTGTGAGAGAATAAATTTCTGTTGTTTTAAGCTGCCCAGTTTGCGGTACTTTGTTACAGCAGCCCTAGGAAACTTGCATGCTAGTTGATATTGAACATCTATCCCAAACATTCAAAGCTTGCCTTTTTACACTAAAGCTGGCCCCACTGAGTAGGATGTTCCTTTGCATATATAATCCTCTAGAAGGTCTTTGTAGTATCATAATATGTCAGTGTTCTAAATGTACTATGGTTAGTTATACTGTTTGTTAAAGTGTCACCAAAAGAAAGCCATTCAGTTCAGGAAAACTAAATTAGAACTGGTCAGATATTCTTTACTGATACCCAAGCAGGGATTCAAATCATTAGATGGTCACCACTTCTCTCTGGATACTAGCCAAAGGATTTTCAGGCATTTGCAAGGAGATGTTAGCTTCTCCCTAGGTACTGACTGGTTACAATGGCAAGAATGTACAGAGGTGGAACAGATAGTATTTAGGCAGAATGCCAGGCCTGGCTCAGTATAGATTCAGAATTCGTAATTACTGATAACATTCCAAAGAACAGCAGAAAAGTAATTTTTGGCTGAAAAATCAATAGTTTGTTTGCACATCTGAACATGGTGGATTTTGTGGGGGATAGGTAAGAAGATGCTGCTTTTTGAATATGTGCAACAATAGTGCTCTCCCTTCCAGCTTTCTCACCACAGGTCACTTCTCCTGCCCCTCTGCCCTTCACCTCCCTCTTCTGTAATTACCCATTTCACTTTCAGCCAACCTGAAATTTAGCAGCATGCTATTTAAGCCCAGACTTTGGTTTACAAAGCAGCCACATTTAGGTTCTGCGCTTTAATCCCAAAGACAGGCTCAAGGGATAAGAATAATATTATCTATCATATGGGGTTGTTTTGAGAATTAGATGAGCTAACATACAAAAAAGAACTTAGAATAGTACTTGGCCTACAGTAAATTCTGGGGATCCTTTTTTTTAAAGCAGAGAGACAAGAAAAAATAGTCAGAAACTCCATTTCTGATGACCAGAATTCCAAATGTAGTTCTGTAAAAGCTGGCAAACTCTAGGAAATACACCAGACCTTTGATCTATAGAAACAAATGTGAAAAGTAGTCCTGATAATGCTAAGGCATCCAAAAAGAGAGATAGGGTGAAAATTTTCCTTAATTTTTCAGGTTTTGAAGAGATCTGGAGTAGTTACCTAATTAGTGTTTGATCTCTTTCCCTAAACCCCAGGGCAGTAAATGAATGCTTATTAACATACTAGAAGGAGGCAGGGGTTGTGTTTTACATTGCTTAGGACTGTGGGATCAGCAGCATGAGTAAGATGATAAAGGAGAAAGAATACAGACTAGTACTTGTGATGCTCCTAGATTATGTATTAGATGCTTTTGACAGTGCTAGGCACCCATTCCCTCCACAAAATCCACCAATAGTTACAAATGGAATCATAATCCTTCCACTGGTTATGGAAGCTCAGAAAGTCAGGTTGTAATTTGAGATAACAACTACTCATATCATACTCTTCTGTCTGACATCACTGCATTTTAAAATCACTCTTACTAAATGTCAATCTTAGGAGTAAATGTTTTTATATTTTTTTGTGTTACCCTGCAAGTTAACGCTAAGATAACTGACACTTTATCTGATAGCTAATTGATATTACTGAAGAATTTTTTAATATTCGGGAAAAATCAAGACAATGAAAAGCAGATATAGTAAAAATTGGCAATTAAGAATATATCTTTAAATTCCTTATATTATAAAATACCTAGATGTTTTTCATCACTATATATCAACATGTTTATAAGATGATGCTTGCTTTAAATGAACTGATTCTTCTGTAACTTTCAAGCAAAGAAGAATATAAATTAATATCTGAGTTACCTGAGGTAAGCTGAATGCAATGCTCCCTGGAACCACTGATGGATGGGTCCTCAGTGTAAAGGTATACCTGTGGTTGGGAGATGTCCTCACAACCACGTGCCTAGAAGTCAGAAACACATACAATACTCCATGATAAAGGAAATAAAGAACATCAGTTCCAAATGTGTTCCAGCACATTTCCAACAACTGATGCTTTATGATTATCAGGTGGAAACATGGCATTAGATGAGAGTCCTGAAGGAAGAGGACCACAAATTGTATTTCCAAAAACTGTCAGCACTTCAAAATGTTTTCCAGACATAAGGAGAACCTTGGGCCAAACACACATGAAGCAGAATCAGAACCAAGTTCAAGAGAGCACATAATATCCAAAACTTCAATTTCATTACACTTTGAGTTTACGTAAAACTGAGGAATGATTTGAAGTCCTTGATATTAAGTAAAAATTAGGTGAATTTCCTCTACTGAGAATTATTTCACATCTTAAGTAGATAAAGGGAGGAGAACCAAAGATAGAAGAGCCAGGACATAACAGTCCAAAAAAAGTTACTTTTTAGGACTGTTCATTAAATTTCTTTGCAGACTCTCACAAGAGTTTGAAATAGTAACAACCTGTAAAATTTAAGAGATGGCAAAAATGAAAAACTTTCACAAAATACATGTTTTCATATAGATATCAGTGCTTACTATTTCAAAGCATTTTGTGCTAATTCACTCTGCTCAGAAGTTACCCATAAACAAATAAAATATAGTCATCTCATGACAATCTCCTACACCAAGACACTACCAAGTACTGGGAGATAGAAGCTTCAAACTCTTATGCAAGAGCACTTTTTAAAAATTATTTTGTAGAATGCTGTAATTTTTAATTATTCACCATTAATGTTTCTATACATATTGTTTTGCCACTAAGAACAGAAGTTCCTTATATCTACTAAATTTTAAGTGGCCCTACCATGAGTACAGTGATCATTTGACAAATGCAAAAGAATTCCATAAACAAATTCCCACCCTGAGTATTCGTACTCCAGCTTATATGTGGAAAGCTCTGTGTTCAACTTCATATCACAGAATTTTTAGGACTGGAAACAATATTAATATAATCACATAGTACAGCCCCTTACTCTGAAGCTGAAAGCCACAGATGATTAGCAATTCTAACTCTACGAAACTCAAGTATTTCATAGAATACCTTAAAAAAACCAAAGAAAGGCTCAGTTAAAATCTTGCTTCTCTGTTCCTTATTTCCCTAGTCTGCCTTCTGGTACAGCCCCTTCACCTCCTTACCTCTACCAACTTCAGAAGCATATGGATGGCATGGAACTTGGTAGTATGGTCTTCAGAAATTCTGACAGTGGGTGATGTAGGGAATCAGTTAAAATAAGTGACAATAAAAGATGCTTATAAAGATTCTACATTTGTTGTACATCTTTTAATTTTCATGTCTCTTAGATGATCACAGTAATAATGATCAAACAATTAATATTTATTGAGGGCTTATTAATGTGCTAGGCACTCTTCCAAGTGCTTTATTTGTCTAAGTCATTCTTCACATCTACCCTGAGGAAGACATTATCATCATCCCCATTTCATAGGCTGGGACACGGAGGCACAGAGACGGTAAATAACTTAATTACGGTCACCCAGTTTGTAACTGGCAGAGCCAGGATTCACTCAGACAATCTGACTCCAGAGCCAAAAACCTAGTGACTAGGTTATATATGATTGATTCATATAACTAGTATGTCTAATTCTGCTAAGAAAATCGATAAAAAACAGGTTATATTTTAATAAAAAGGTATGTATGATTTTGAAAACATTATTTTATCAGTTTAGATTAAATACAGTGAAGACTAAAATACATAGCTCTTTCTCACCTCTTTCACTTTCCAACCCAGCAAGAATAATTTTTTTATTAAGGTATTATTGATATATACACTTTTATGAAGGTTTCACATGAAAAAAACAATGTGGTTAGTACATTCACCCATATTTTCGTGTCCCCCCATACCCCATTGCAGTCACTGCCCAACAGTATAATAAGATGCCCAAGAGTCACTATTTGCCTTCTCTGTGCTACACTGTCTTCCCCATAATCCCCCCCACACCATGTGCACCAGTCATAATACCCCTCAACCCCCTTCTCCCTCCCTCCCCACTCGCCCTCCCCCACCCCCCCCTTTGGTAACTGCTAGTCCCTTCTTGGAATCTGTAAGTCTGTTGCTGTTTTGTTCCTTCAGTTTTGTTTCGTTGTTACACTCCACAAATGAAGAAAATCATTTGGTACTTGTCTTTCTCCGCCTGGCATAATATCCTCCAGCTCCATCCATGTTGTTCAGCAAGAATAATTTTAAAAATTATTCTCAAGGTACCTAAAAAGTAAGAGTTCCCTAGAAGTTTCTAAAATACCACTTATCATGTTAGAAGAAAGCAAAGTTAGATACTCACTGGCCAGGCTGGAAATCTTTTTCATTCACAACTGCACAATTGGTTAAAGATAATTCATCTGTAGGACATCTTGCAGCTTGCATACTCTATAAAAATCAATGATAGGGAAAATAAATTTAAGTCATCATTTATAACCTTAAAGAATAGTTTATGCTTCCTCTACTCTATTCCTCATCACCTGTAGTAAACACCTATTGTTTTTGACTCCTAGCATCTTCCTCTGTGATAACAGCAAACCCTAATATTCCTTCCCCATTCCACATGTTTTGGTAGGCCTGCCAATCACAGCACACATGCCACCACAGAGACTCCTGTTTCACCAATGGGATTGGTATATATGTGCTAGAAGAAAGGCATTCTCCCTTTGCCTCAATTCCACATGGAGGAAGATGTTCTGCTCTAAAAGGGAGTATATTTATCACAGAGAAAGCAAGGTGACAGAGAAACACACAAAAAGACACCTTGAAACACAGAAGTGACAACCAAGTTAAAGCCCTTGAGATGGGCCTGAATACTGATTATGAGACAGTAAGTTTTCTTTTTACTCAAGCTTATTCAAGTTGGTTTTCCATCTCTTCCAATGAAAAGAATTTGATTGATTCAAATGCAATAAAGCAAATGCAATAAGTGATGGAGTATATCACGAAGAAGTATACTTTTATAAGACATCCCAAGAGGCTATGAACTGTATCTCCTATAGCTCAGAAAAAGCATCTTCCCGATATCACCCAACAAATATAATTACAGGGTACTATTTTTAAAAAACAGCCATTAATCTTTTTGATCAACAATTACTAGCACAATGTTCTTTCATTTCTTTTATGTAACTTATTTATCCAATAATTTTTCCCCATTCTCTAGGGCTTCCTAGTTAGTGAAATATGACACTTGTAGTCATAGTCTGTTTATGACTGATGTGTTTATCTTCAAAGCTCAAGCCAAAGCTGATTTTTCTTAAATTTGTCTCACAAATACAAATTCATAAAGGAAAATAAATTACTTTAGTTTTGTTTTGATTTTAATGAAAAGGCTAGTTTCAATACAGTTATCCCAGCTGTTTACCGAGCAGTGATCTCTAAAGTGGGATACGTGCACTAAAGTGTTTGGAAGATAAGCCAAGTATTGAAATAAACTAAATTTAGAAACAGACCTCTGAATAAGTGTATCACAAAATACTGAACCACGATTTTAAAGAGTAATTAAGCATTACTTTGTTTTCTACATATTAATAAAAATTAAAATGAGTATATTTCATCTCTAGCCCATACTTGTTTTTTAGATGTTTTACTATGAATATAAACTATTAGAATATCATTTATAAATAAATATGCAAATATATTGATGATACATGACCAAAACATTTCTTACACATATGGGATTCATGATAAAATGTTTAGAAATCACTAATTTAAAATGTCAGCTGAATAAAGTCTAGGTCATAACTTTGCTTTCTGAATGAGGCAGTCACAGTGTGACCCACATACTATGCCCACAGTCAAAGTATAACAAGCCATCTGACAAAAACGTGCCAATCCTTTTTAGTTTCCACATACCCTGGAGTTCCTCTCACCTACAAGCTTCTTTCTTTTATATTCTTTTTTCTCCCCTAATTCTGAGACCCTTGCTTAGCCAACTCCTACTCATTGTATAATATTCAGCTCACACATTACTTTTTCTAGAAGACCTTTCTAGACACCTTTTCTTCCCCACCAAACTGATAAAATAAACTTCAGGTAGAAGCACACTACAGTATTTTTATTGTCTGTTCACATGTTTGCATTGCATAAAAGATTGTAAGCTTCTCAAAGAGCTCAAATTCTATCTTACATCTGTGGTTCCTGGGGCTAGTACAGGAGGGCTTGGCACAATTGAGTGATCACAAAACACTTACTGAATAAATGAACTTATGGATCAATACAAATTTATCTCAACTGCAGAATAAACAGCACACAAAGTATGTGTCAAGGTTATTGAGGACATGATATAATTTAATTATCTAATAGTTTAAAATTAAACAGAATTGATATAGCCAAGTAATAAAAATTGTACAAAATGCTAAGTTAACCTTTTCATTTGTAAACTTGTTTACTTGTCAAAGAGGTGGTGTCCTTCAAAAAAGAGTGAAAAAAATCTGGGAGTCATCTGGCTAGACAACTAAAACAGATGCTATTCCTCCCTACTGGAATCTAGAAGCATCTGTGTTTTTATGGTAAGTGAAGTAGGGTATCTCATTTTCTCATCAAAATTTAAGTCCCTATAAATAGTAGCTGTTTACTTACCACAGTAACGCCAAGGGAAAATTCCACAATTCTTCTCACACAGACCTTGTCTCCAGAAAACAATAATAAAAGCCCAGCTACTATAGCCATGCAGCTAGTAAGAAATGAAAATACAAACTGGTAGGCAACTTTATATAGGTTTAGTTACCTGAGTTACTAGAATATTTAACTGTCTGAAGGCTGTAAAATGTTTTCATTAATAACCTGAAATATAGAAATTATTAACTCATTACTACTCAAAAGAATGAAAATCTCAACAAAATCTTAATGGAAACTTTAGTGGAAGTAATTATATCATTACTTATTTGAGAGCCTTTAGAGTACATAAAGAGAATATGCTTAATCAAATAAATTTGGGGGATTTAACCAGAACTTCTCTGGGCAATATTATATAGTTTTCAAATTTAAATACATAGTTTTATCCAAAAATCCACTTTAAAAATTGGATTATTTAAGTATACACTTTATTGTTTACAAAGAATTTATTAGGGCAAAATAAGCAGACAAAAAAAGAGTGTAGTACCTGACGAGCAGAGCTCATTACCAAATACCTACCCCCACCTGAACAGCAGCATTCACGAGCCCACTGGTTCTTCCTCTGTGGTGTTTTAGGCCTCAGTTACATCTCTGTACAGACATACAAACACCCCACAGGAAAGGGAAGTAGGATAGAAAACGAAGTTGCCCCAGAGCTAGCTCAGTTGACAAGTCTCACTCAATTATTTCTTGTCAGAAAAATGACATTTTAGAACTACACTGTTCAATAATTACTAGACACATATATCTATTAAAATTAATTAAAATTAAAAATTTGTTTCTTCAGTTGCACTAGCCACATTTCAAGTGCCACATGTGGCCAGTAGATATCACTGCAGAACGTTTCATTGGCTAGTGTTAGTTAGTCTAGAAATGTGAGACAGGCCAACAGTAACAACTGTCTTCAGGCCTCTGGAATCACTATGTGCCATAAACTCCTATCATAATAATTTCTGTTAAAAGCCTGAAGTCATGTGGGACCAGAAATAATAAGATAGAAATAAGTTAAACGTGTATGTCCCTTAATTATCCCTGAAAGAGCCTGTAGGGATACCCTTCACATTATCCATTTCAGACCAGTAACTATTCACAGAGATGAACCTCCTGACATTCCTCTGGGCCTTAAAATTCCTTTATAATTTATATTGAAAAACAAGAAAACTAAGTCCCCATTTTTGTCTTTTCTGGGGGGAAATGCAAAGGAAAATGAAAAAAGCTGACATTAAATACTGGCAAAGATGTGATAGTTTCTTATAAAGTTAATGTGATCCAGCACATCAACCCCTAATGTTTTAATCAAGAGAAATGAAAACATATAGCCACACTTATACAAAAATGTTCACAGCAGCTTTATTCATAAGAGTCAAAAACTGGAAAGCACAAAGATGTCTACCAACAGGTGAATGGATAAACAAATACAAGGTAATATTTCCCAGCCATTAAGAAGAAGCTATTGATAAATGCAACAATATGGGCTAACCTCAAAAAAATAACGCTGAGGAAAAAAAGTCAGATGTAAAACAAGAATCCATCCTATATTATATAAAACTTATCTCATATTTAGATAAAATTTTAGAAGAGGCAAAATTAATCTAAAGTAACCACACACACACAAATCAGTGGTTGCTTGGGGAAAACGAGCAGCAAAGAGGAATTAATTTTTTGAGATGACACAAATGTTCTATATATTGATTATATTTTATTGTGTATAGCGTGTATGTCAATAAAGTTGAGAAATGTTCTAATTTTTTAACGGCCAGGCAATCTCTGTAAAGATGGGATCAAACTAGGAAATACAGTTTAGGTACAAGGTCAAAATAGCGCCCCCACACCCATGCAACAAAGACCTAGAACTTGGCATGTCCATCTCAGATATACCTACTGGAAGACAGAGATAACTAGGTGTGCAGAAGAGACTCAGTTCACTCCCTAACCAATGCTCATCCCAGCTGTAGAACTACAGAGAAGAAAAGAATGATCATATCTATCTTTACAAAGCCAGTCCAAGGTTGCTGACCACATTGGCCTGCTAGTCTGGGTACAGGAAGTAAAAAAGGAAAGATTAAAAGCTACAACGGGCATGAATGTCACACTGACCATCAAATTGGCAATTCCTCCTGCTGAGAAAAGTAACTAAGGTTCCCCTTCACCCCCCAATATTAAGTCTTCCCTTAAGAGACAAGGAAGGCTGAACTAAAGTTCTACCCTCCCTATAGGCAGAGATGGAAACATAAGGAAACAGGAAGAAATGCATTCCTACCCACACATACACAACAATGAGAATTAAATGAGATAATCCTCATTTACTTGATACAGAGTAAATACTCTATAAATCTCAGCTATTATTATAACTATCCTAGAGAAATTATTGAACTCAGGAATGAATTATTTGAAATAGCAAAAAAAATCATAGAAAATCTAAACTTAAATAAATTCTATAAATAGGAACATGGTTAAAAGAATCACAACTATGCAGCCATTTAAAAGGTCAAGATATCTCTGAATGTACTGACAAAGGAAAATGTCCATAATATAGTTGTAAGTTTTTAAAAAGTTACAAAACAATATGTAGAGTAAGCTTTTTTTAAAAAAAATAAATAAACTATACACTAAATTTTAGCAGTAGTTACCACTGAGGAAAAACTAGTTGTAGGGGAAACACCTTCACTTTTCACAATTTCGAATTGTTGGAACTTTTTACAATAAATAACCCTTGTCTTAGGGTTATTTTAAATACAGAATAATTTTAAATACAGAAATTGTATTTACAAAGTTGTTCTCTACAGCATTACTTTAACAGTAATGCACAGGTGCAACCTAAAGTCCTATTTCCAAGTAATGATTATGTAAAACTACAACATATCCACTTAATTACATATCACAGCCATCAAAATCCTCATAATATATTAATGAGGGATTCATACCACAAAATATGAATGTGTGTGTATGTATACATATATAAATTTTACTTTACAGCCTGATTTTTTTTCTATCATTAATATACACTTACATAAGCAATATTGTGGTTACTAGATTCCCCACCACATACCCCATTACAGTCACTGTCCATCAGTGTAGTAAGATGCTATAGTCACTACTTGTCTCCTCTGTGCTATATTGACTTCCCCATGCCTCCCCACCCCCCATTATGTGTGCTAATTGGAATGCCCCTTTTTCCCCTTATCCCTCCTTTCCCACCCACCCTCCTCATTCCCTTTCCCTTCGGTAACTAACTGTTAGTCCATTCTTGGGTTCTGTGAGTCTGCAGCTGTTTTGTTTCTCCAGTTTTTTCTTTGTTTTTATACTCCACAGATAAGCGACATCATTTGATACTTGCCTTTCTCTGCCTGGCTTATTTCACTGAGCATAATACCCTCTAGCTCCATCCATGTTGTTGCAAATGGGAGGATTTGTTTTCTTCTTACAGCTGAGTAATATTCCATTGTGTATATGTACCACTTCTTCTTTATCCATTCATCTACTGATGGACACTTAAGTTGCTTCCATTTCTTGGCTATTGTAAATAGTGCTGCGATAAACATAGGGGTGCATATGTGCTGGGCTCCTGCATTCTTAGGGTAAATTCCTAGGAGTGGAATTTCTGGGTCAAATTATATTTCTATTCTTAGTTTTGTAATATTATTATTTTTTATTTTGGTATCATTAATTTACAATTACATGAAGAACATTATGTTTACTAGGCTCCCCCCTTCACCAATTCCCCCCCCCACATACCCCTTCACAGTCACTGTCCATCAGCATACTAAGATGCTGTAAAATCACTACTTGGCTTCTCTGTTTTGTAGAGACCACCCCGTACCCCCTCCACATTATACATGCTAATTGTAATGCCACCTTTCTTTTTCCCACCCTTATTCCTCCCTTCCCACCCATCCTCCGCAGCCCCTTTCCCTTTGGTAACTGTTAGTCCATTCGCGGGCATTCGCGGGTTCTGCGATTCTGCTGCTGCATTGTGCCTTCAGTTTTTCTTTGCTCTTATGCACCACATATGAGTGAAATCATTTGGTACTTGTCTTTCTCTGCCTGCCTTATTTCACTGAGCATAATACCCTCTAGCTCCATCCATGTTGTCGCAAATGGTAGGATTTCTTTTCTTCTTATGGCTGAAAAATATTCCATTGTGTATATGTACCACATCCTCTTTATCCACTCATCTACTGATGGACATTTAGGTTGCTTCCATATCTTGGCTATTGTAAACCATATATGTTTGGCTTAATAGAGTCTCTATTCTGTTCCACTGGTCTTTGGCTCTGTTCTTGTGCCAGTACCAAATCATCTTGATTACTGTGGCTTTCTAGTAAAGGATGAAGGTGGGAAGCGAGATCCCCCCACTTTATTCTTCCTTCTCAGGATTGCTTTGGCTATTCGGGGTCTTTGGTGGTTCCATATGAATTTTTGAATTATTTCTTCCAGTTCGTTAAAGAATTCTGTTGGTAATTTGATAGGGATTGCATCGAATCTGTATATTGCTTTGGGCAGGATGGCCATTTTGAAAATATTAATTCTTCCTAGCCAGGAGCATGGGATGAGTTTCCATTTGTTAGTATCCTCTTTAATTTCTCTTAAGAGTGTCTTGTAGTTTTCAGGGTATAGGTCTTTCACTTCCTTGGTTAGGTTTATTCCTAGGTATTTTATTCTTTTTGATGCTATTGTGAATGGAATTGTTTTCCTGATTTCTCTTTCTATTAGTTCATTGTTAGTGTATAGGAAAGCCACAGATTTCTGTGTCTTAATTTAGTATCCTGCAACGTTCCTGAATTCCAATATTAGTTCTAGTAGTTTTGGAGTGGAATCTTTAGGGTTTTTTTATGTACAATATCATGTCATCTGCAAATACTAACAGTTTGACTTCTTCTTTACCAATCTGGATTCCTTGTACTTCTTTGTTTTTTCTGATTGCGTGGCTAGGACCTCCAGTACTATGTTGAATAACAGTGGGAGAGTGGGCATCCCTGTCTTGTTCCCGATCTCAGAGGAAAAGCTTTCAGCCTCTCACTGTTCAGTATGATGTTAGCTGTGAGTTTATCATATATGGCCTTTATTATGTTGAGGTACTTGCCCTCTATACCCATTTTGTGGAGAGTTTTTATCATGAATGGATGTTGAATTTTGTCAAATGCTTTTTCAGCATCTATGGAGATGATCATGTGGTTTTTGTCTTTCTTTTTGTTGATGTGGTGGATGATGTTGATGGATTTTCGAATGTTGTACCATCCTTGCATCCCTGGGATGAATCCCACTTGGTCATGGTGTATGATCCTTTTGAT